GTTATTTTTTTTATATTTGATAGGTCGACATTTGACTCGGTTTGACCACTATTTCGCCTGGTGATCTACGATGGAGCATGCCGTCACTCGGGCCTTGAAGACATTCAGGTTATACCCTTCAGGAAATACAGACTCTGGCAAAGAATTCCACTCCTTAGCAGTACGCACAAGGAAGCTTGATAGATTCAATCGATTGGATCCGATTGTAATGTATTTAAATCCATGGAGAGTTAGAGATGCCTATATCTCAGAACTATAATGTCCACATATTAAATAATATTGGACCTTCTATAATAATTATGATTAGATAGGTACCTATATTTTGATGTATAAATAAGTGGTAGGTCAATGACACGTTATCTCCACTGAACGAGATCAATGTTTAGAATAATTACGACCTGGACCGTATGGCTAATCTTAGCAATACGAGTTATATCTGATGTAATATGTACCGTATGATAGTTAAGCTGAAGAAGAGGGCAAGGGTTTTAATTTTTTTTTTAAGGTGGAAAATCGTCCAGTTACTTCATCGTATGACCGCTCCCGCCTAGGTGAGGTGGGAGGGAGTGTCAGACTCATACTGACTAAAAACCACCCCGTTCCTACTCCTGCACTTCGAGCCGGAGCCCCGGCAACCCGTTACCCATATATCCCCAAGCGGTCACCGGTGAACGTTCTCCACTAACTACATTATAGATCTTATTTCCAATGTTTAGAGACTACTTTTGTATGAACAAATTTAGGGGATAATTTTCAACAATTTTCAACGGGAGGAAAATATATTTGCATTGACCATTGCACAGGTAGGTAACTAAATACTTAGAGCTAACTCCATCCTGCAGCATCGCTTTAGACAAAGTCAGATGAAGTGCCACCGATGAAAAGAATTCTATGAAAAAATAATAAAATAGTTTATGTTTTTATAAGAACTATCGTCAGACATACTAAAGTAACTAAAAATCGCGGGTTACTCACGTTAGTATACTTAGAAAAACTCTACTAGTTTCGAACCACAGTAGGCTGCGCGACATCGCCGCGATCGCGCACACTGCTCATGAGGAAGAACCCCTCTGTGGTTCGAAACTAGTAGAGCTTTTCTCAGTATCTTCACGTGAGTATCCCGCGATTTTTATTCAAAATTATTTTTGGCCTTACCGTGAAGATCCATTGGGCCACTCAAAAGCTTAAATTATAATGTGACGTCGATGGTAATATGCACTTAGAATACTCCGAATATATCTACGTAATAGGTTACTACTTACAAACATAGTGGCCACATTGTTAGGGAACTCCTTGGCGATGATTGCGAAGGAGGCTGTTAGGAATGCAGCATTCCCCATGGCTTCTATGATTCGGATGATAAAGCTCAAAGTGATGAAGGGAACATGGCCTTCCACTTTATCCAGCATTCTGTGGAGGAAAAATCAGGCTTAGTAATTCATGTCCAACCTCATTGGTTGTAGAGTACTACCTAGTAACTGGTTATTTTACGTTAAAAATAATCTCAGATGCCATTAGAGATTTCTTTTTAATTTTTTTTTTCTTCGCTAAAGTATGGCTAAACCATTGATTTTTTTATTTATCGTCCAGTACTTTGATTGGTATTAAATAAGTATTTATTGTAAATTAATAATACAAGGCAATGTTAGTGACAACTTGTGGTCAACAAAATAAACCGATGTCATAAGAATATTTGTTTTATTTTACTTTAAAAATGTCACTAAATCGCTTCGAAATAGCCAGTTTTATTAAAATGAACTGATATTCAAACTTTTATTGCTGTTTCAATTTCAATAGACGTGATTTTTTGATAAAAATTAAAAAAAAAATTCGAAACAGCCAAATAAATCAGTACTCATTACTTAATTGTGATCTTTAATGTTTTAAAATACATTCACTAAATGTTCTTACCCGAATAAAATGGCGCAAGTGCCTGTTGTGAGGATACCTCCATTAAACAGTAGCTTGGGACCAAGTTTATTGAGGTGGGCGCCATAAATAGGACTGACTAGAAACACGACCAACTCGAACACACCGAACACTAGCCCAAACTCTGTGGCTGTACATCCTTTCTTCTCTGCCTGAAATAAAAACAGGTACACGATTGAGAACACTACAACAATGTCACTTTCTAATTATAAGTTTGAAATCGCCAACCCGTATTGAGCAAGCGTTGTGGCGATTAATGCTAAAACCTTCTCCGTGTGAGAAGAGGCCTTTGGTTAGCAGTGGCCACTTATAGGCCGTTGATGATGATGACACAGTAAACAATATATTAAACTGTCAAACACCAAGCGGTCACCGGTGACCGCAACCTATTGTTCTATAATTGTGTCTACAAAACCGGTACTCGACGAGTTAATTATGTAAAGATATTAGTTAGCTAAGGTTAACATTATGTAGAATAGTAAGTTCAACTTACTACATAATGTTAAATCAATTAGATAAAATTCTCCTACTGATAAATCCATCACATGTTCTCCAGACATTGTATTACTAAAGGGTAATAAAGAACCACACTGATGCAAGATTAGAACCTCGTGTTGCATACACGTAATTGATATAACCACGATAGTTACGAGACTCAATTAAATAAATCAATTATAAATCATTAATCTAGACTACACGTCATAATATTCATAGGTCATACAAATTAACCTTCGAAGATTATTGATTTAATAAAGAACTTAGTTCATTTGCGAATAGAAGCGGGTCAGTATGTGGCAAAGAAAAGGGTTCTGATTTTCCCGGAAACTGAAACAGATGTTCTATTTGTAATATTGTGAATACAACAGCCTTATTCGTCGGCGACGTATTTAAGCCTGTCATTTTGATAATAGATTTATTACAGAATTCTTTGATTTGCTAGCGAAGATTTACGTGAAGGGATGATAAGAGATAAGTATCTAGTAATAAATGTCAATTTGGTAGTAATCAAGAACAGTTTTTCATAAACCCAATACGGCAAATGACTTAGCTATTAAACTAATCCACTCTCTATAGGAAAAGTCTAATAGCACTAAAAAATTACCTACTTTTAAGGTAGTGTACTGAAGTATTTTAAAGTATTCATGATGCATGACTACCAGGGTGATTTTGGTTTTACTTATTACCTATATAATATTTCATAACATCACGCCTTTTATTCCCGTAGGGGAAGCCTGAGGTGCACATTACGGCATTTAATGCCACTGTACAATGTGACATCCACTTTTCACTAATTATATTTTGAGCCTCGTGTAATAGGGGGTGAGCCTATTGCCATATACCGGGCATAATTCCAGACTCCGTGCTACTACTGAGATTTTTTAAAAACCCAGTAATACTTTGCCCTATCTGGAAATCGAACCCAGAGACCCCTTGCCTGGCAGTCGCATTTGCGACCACTCGGCCAATGAGGCATGGTTTTACTCAGTCCTTGATTTTCTCCTCAAAAACTAAATGTCTTATAAAGATTGCCATCTACTATCAAAAAAGGGCAAGACGAATATGAACGTGTGATAATATTCATCCAATTAAAATGTTAATGAAAATTCGTCGTTATCATTCAAGTACGTGCCCTAATTGTTACATTCCAGAACAAGTTGAAGATAAGATGAGATCTGATTTGTGCCCATTTCTTGTTTATACACAATCACATGACGGCAGACGGACGAAACTCGAACATTCCAGTATTACTGTATTTATTAATGTAGGCTTGTTAATTTGTATGTCATAAGATGGTTAATGAGGTGATTAGGGCATTACAATCTGTAGTAATTGAACATGTAGTTACTACATCTATATATATGTATGTATATGCCGCGGCGAACTTAACGGGTTACTGGGGCTCCGACTCGAAGTGCAGGAGAAGGAACGGGGTGGTTTTTAGTCAGTAAGAGTCTGACACTCCCTCCCATCTCACCCAGGCGGGAGCAGACATTCGATGTATTTACTCCCTTAAGAAAACTACATATATATGTTTATACACATAGAGTAATCGAGATTAACAAGCAAGCATGGTGATGAATGCTCAAAACTTCTCCGTGTGAGAAGATGCCAGCAGTGGCCACTTAAAGGCCGTTGGTGATGATGAGAATACCAGCCATATTAACAACTGACCTCTCTTTGATAGGGATCGATCTTTTGACATAACTACAGAGGTAACAACCGATTTCAAATAAAAAAATTTAGTTACTATAAAAACTAAGTGTGATCCAAAGATTTTGAATTAGAATTAGTTACTTATTCATTATTATTCGCCTTTATGTCGATATATGTCGTTTAAAGATAAGGAATTGTGAAAGAAATAGTTTTATATAAACTTCATAATTTTAGTCATCATAACAATAAATTGGTGAGTTAACAAACCGGTGCGTCTATAAAATAATTCAAGAGAAACTCGTCATTTAAATATATGTATATATATATCATTTAGTAGACTGTCAAAATGTATATAACCATGCATAACTGTATATGTATTATAACCTCCAATATAATTTTATTTTATATGCACAATAGTATGTGTAATATGCATGCAGTAACAATTTATGTTAGTTCTAGAAAACGTGAAATATGCGTGAAGATCGAAAAGCATTTGAAAATAATGAGCGTAAAATATTGATCTGTGAAACATTGAAATGTTTTAAGCACTTTTTATACAAAAGATAAAGATATGATGATAAAACTAATTCCATTGCATATACATATACCATTATCTAATAGTATAATATAAAAAAGTAGACATAGAACCTTCTAATAAATAAAATTAATTTTCGTTCGTTAGTCTCGCTAAAACTCGAGAACAGCTGGACTGATTTGGATAATTTGGATCTTGAAATGTTCGTGGAAGTCCAGGGAAGGTTTAAAAGGTGAAAAAAAAGAAAATTAGTCGGTACAAAGTTCGCTCCGTCAGATAGTATTTTATATAAAAGACATTTCCTTTAATATTTTAACTGACAACGATCAAGTTCAAGAGCCCTACTAAAAATACAATCCAAAATCGTTTTTGAAACCAAAACCCGATTGATATACAAATTTTTAAATCTGTCTCGAGTTTAGACGTCCATATTATATAAGTTAGTGCTAACTTGTACATATAGGTATATGAGAGAGCGCCTGGCGATTGTATTGTGTTGATAAGAGTCGACTTTTTGCTCGAAGGTTATCACTGCTGGTCAGAATGTACTACAAACTGTCAATCTCTGCTGTCTCTGTGACTACCTTCAGCTTTCCTTGGCCTTTGTGATTAGATGTGGTAAAATTTTCATGTTATTGTTTCCGAAGGGATGAAGATATGCACGCATTAAAAGTTACATTTTTCTACTTTTGTTAAATTTGCAAAAATAAAATTTATTTGATCATATACCAAACATAATAATATAATTATCCCGGGCTTCACGTTTTGACAATAGGGTAGATGACTAATTTTTATTTTAATGTCCGTTTGGTAGATAGATTATTTAAAAACATTAGACAAGTATTTTTATTTTCTTACAAATACGAAAAGTTTTGAAGATAGATTAATTTTTATACTCTAAAATGACGTAGCTACCTCCCTCTAATATATTAGATATTTTTTCATTATCTAACTGACGGACTTATTAGATTTTTAATTTTGATATCATGTCATCATCCTTATTCCAATAACACCTATTTTTCTTTTATTTAACCTTTATTTTGAGGCAACTATATACGTATATGGCAATAGGCTCCCTATTACATGGGACTCATAACATAAATAGTGAAAAGTGGGTGTTACATTGTACAGTGGCATAATGTGCACTTCTGCCTACCCCTTCGGGGATGAAAGGCGTGATGTTATGTTGTATAGACATGCGTGGACGTAAGTACTTACGTCCAGACAGTTTAAATTGTCATAATGTAATAATAGATGTAAACAAAGTAATTAGTCTACATTCGTTAAGAGTCTAGGTCTCAAAATATATCGAGTATGTAACGTTCAAAAGTGCCTTCCTAGTCTAATTGAAATAATTGATTTTGACTTTGACTTTGTAAGGAGAATTCGAGCCTCATTTATAATTTATTTTTTATTCTGCACGAATAAAATGTCCTAAAACTTTAATATATGTACTCTGAATGCTAGATTAAGTTATCTTGACATGAGTTCAAATCATTTTGAAAAAAGTAACTGTAAATTCATAAATATTCAATTTATTAGTGAAGTAAGCTGCTACCAAAGGGTACACCCATATGAACAAGCAAAATACTCCATTGTTTTTTCTTTTTTTTGTATGTCTACTTTTTTAGAATATAGAACACGGTTATTTAGTAACACGGCATTTTATTTGAGCACTGGCCTTTTTGCACCGTGTACATTGTTTTGATTTTTTAGACATTTTTTTTTTGTTTTTTTTTTCTGTAGCGGTGCAAATAAACGGTTTTTCTTTCTTTTGAATGGATCAGACTATGTATAAGAAGTGTTATCATATTGTAATCCTTAGTTTTCGATGTTGAAACATTAGAGAGTGGATCGACCGCCCGTTCAAGGACGCCAGTGGGTACGTGGACTAAAATGATTTTGGAAAAAGTTATATAACGCGCTTTACCTATATGTAGACGTATATTTACGATTTCAACAATATTTGAGTGCCGTGAGAAATGCCACCGACTGTTTGTTTTTTTTTATTTAACCCATGGCCGTGGTTCGGTGTATCGCAGATAGAAGTAAGGCACGATGTATTTTCTAACTGTCGACATTAATGTAATCTATCTTAATTTACAGATGAGAGATGACGAGATCGGTAATTGGGATTAGTTGTAAGGACTTTTCGTCAAAAATGTCTAAATCAATCTAAATATTTTTGATTGAGTTCAGCCGTTCCATCCCAAAGTATCTATCTATAAATTGTAGCGGTAGTCAGTAGTTTAATGCCTCATGTCGATTTATGAACGCAGAGTTATGTAGGTAGACTTTATTCTTTTTTTTTTGAAGGAGGGAAAATCATCGAATGACTTCTCCCGCGCGGGTGAGGCGAGAGGGTGTGAAACTCTTACTGACTTAAAACCACCCCGTTCCTACTCTTGCACTTCGAGCCGCACCCCTTTAATTATTTGTATGGTAGAATAAAATTTGCGTTTTCAAATGAAGTTAAGTAGACAGTTTCAGGTTCAGATTTCAGTTAGAGTAGTTTAATCATCTACCACGGAATCCAAACTAGTGTTTGACAATTTCGATAAATAACTAAGTAAGTATAGATTATTATTAAGTGTATTGTGACGCCCACTTATACGTAAACTTGTCTCTAAACTAAAATGTTGTTAGACACGTGCACGGTCAGGTTACTCCTTTCGGGAAACAAAAAGCGTAATTTGAGTAATTTAAAAATGAATACCAACCTCTTGTGGGTAAAATGGCGCCTGTAGAGCAACGCAGATAGCATTGCAGAAGTCAGCAATAGATATTACAACTATTGTCAACCACTGCCTTCGGGAGAAGTCGAAACCCATTTTTTTATTATTATGGATTTAGTTCTTAAAACAAAATTTAAAATAGTTTTAATAAATTAACACTCTAAAATTAAAATTAAATTATTTCACTAAAATTTTAAAATGTCCGCGACATTATTTGAATTTTTAAATTGTCTTCGTTCTAATTTTGAATTTATAGCACTGCCACTTATTTCGGTTACGCGTTGAGCTTTTGTCTCGAAGGCGGGAATAGCACTAAGTCAAGACACATCGTATTCTGGATAACAAGTAAATTATTACTCTAATAACAGCTATCCAGTTATCATTACGTTCTCATGGACTTTCAACTCTATTGTTCAAATAAGTATACATTGCGTAGTTGGTTAAACATTCCTCTTTATAAACTTCTAATGACTGTTCAATAGACGTCGAATTTCAGAAGATTCCTCTGTCACAAAGATTAGTTTGGTACATAACAAGTAATCAGTGAAGAAGTAATGACCGCAGTTTACGATAAACGGGACTAAAATATCAGCGACAGATAATATATTGTCATTTTAATAACTACTTTAACGGTAATTAGTTCTTTTGTAAACAATTGACTTGATTTTTATTAAGTAACGCTAATGACGACTTTAAATTTGGAACGAAATCACGTAGACAAAATCAGTTGACAATATTCTTGGTGCCAGGAAAATTTTTATGGTTTGAAAAGTTTCACTTTTATAATTTTTATCATTGTTTTAGTAGTTAGTCTGAAAAAGAAAATGATTCAATGTAATAATAATGGTTCTGTATTCGATTATGATTTCAATGGCCAATCTCAACAGAGGTTTACAACCAGAACTACTAATAAAAGATATCAAATATAGTGCGGAAGATGAACACTTTTCAGTTCACACCCTTGTAATAATTTAGATACAGAAACTTTAAATGTTTCATAAAATGTGAGATAAAAATCTGTCGAATTGTCTATGATTATATACCTTCGAAGCAAAATTTATTGTATTGTCTACATACATAACGTTGACAGTTAACGTTTTTTTTTTAAAAAAAAGAAAGAAAAAAAAAGAAGAGAACGTATTTTAATTGAAACCTTTTCATGTTTGCTGTTATACGAGTTTACACAATTACGTACCGCGTCGTGTCATTTTCTTGTACATAATAAACAAGTAAGTATAATAATATGGCAAGGCATTAAAATGAAGATGTCTGCTCTTTGCCTCTCTCCATTTTCGTGGAAGAACGTCAGCGTGTTTGACGGGCATTTATTACGTTATTAACGACTTATCTAAATTGCGATGTATTCAAATGTGAAAGATAAATTATCTCAATTCCAAAATATTAAAAATAAATTATGTTTAAATTGATTTTAGTTCCGCGCGCGCCTCAAAGAGCCGTCAGACCACCCCAGGCGGGGCCCTCTATAGGGCTGATGCCGCTACGGAGCCGCGGATGACTTAACGGGTTACCGGGGCTCCGGCTCGAAGTGCAGTAGTAGGAACGGGGTGGTTTTTAGTCAGTAAGAGTCTGACACTCCCTCCCGCCTCACCCAGGTGGGAGAAGTCATTCGACGATTTTCTCGCCTATAAAAAAAATAAATATGACGTCGCAAGTCGTCTCAACTCCAAACAAAAATTCTCGTCTGTCGGCTGATTATATAGAGATGCAATTATGATGCATTTCGTTTGGAGCTTCTGTCAAAATTGGGTCTTTGCCTTAATCAAAACTAAATTCTTCCGACTGTTCAATACAATAAAATTTTATAAAATAATCACACTTTCATTAATTGATTTTATGAATAGCTTTATTTTAGTATTTTTCAAGCTAATTTTTAGGAAATAAGTGTGCTGTTTGACGCTAAAAAAACGTGACGTAACAAAACACGATCTCGTACAAAATTCATTGACAACTGTAATTTTTGACAGTTCGAAAAAGGTTTTGAATTTGACTAGTTGGCAAGTGCCCACTTGTACCTATACTACTGCCACCATACCAAATTATGGAGACTGACCGTAAGTTAAACCGTCTACATGTGACTGGAACAATGTTTTGGCGTCCACTATCAGCATCACGTGTATTCATCGTAAAATATTTTGTCACTGAATTATTGTAATTTTTTACAATATCTTATCTAAATATTTAATTGGTTTTTATAAGGGTGAGTTTACAATGGAGTGTAATTAGTTGTAGAGAACTAATGACGTTTAATATAATTTTATATTAATCCATATAGTCTACTTCATTGGCTGAGTGGTCGCAAGTGCGACTGCCGCTACAGCTTGCTTTTCTGGCACCATATGGACTTAACATAACTTTACGCCTTTTATCCCCGAAGGGGTAGGCAGAGGCACATTACGGCACTTTTGACTATTTATGTTACGAGTACCATGTAATAGGGGGTGAGTCTATTGCCATATACCGGGCACAGTTCCTGACTCCGTGCTACTACTGAGATTTTTAAAAACCCAGTAAAACCCGAGATCCCTTGCCCGACAGTCGCATTTGCGACCACTCGGCCAATGAGGCAGTCATTATAGAGGTAAAGTATTACTATTAATCTGTTAAGAAAAAAGTAACAGAGCCCTTAATTCTACGAATTCATTAATGATAGTTACATTAGAACACATCTCAGGCCGTTGTTGCCATGATAACACTTCTTAGTCTGTGTTCCTACGTTACAACGGGAGAGGTCGTGTTGTGACCCGTGATGTATCGTAGTTTGTAACGATACATCGTGATTATCATTATGTCACACCATGTGCTTGTGGAGCGTCCGATTATTATACCTAGTACTAAATTTTATGAATTTCTTGTATCAGTGGGTTTTTTATATTTGTAGGTACTAGTACTAGGTAATAAGGAAAGATGTGATTGGGTTAAAGTACCTAAATGTATGTAGAAATATAAAAAAATAACTGAAATATATTATGAGTTTGTTCATTTCCAATCTGCGTTACAGATGTATTTTTCCTATTCCACCATTGACAGGGCGTTGCTCCTAAACGATCTTCTGAAAAATAAAGACCAATTCCAGGATCGCGGACTCTGAAGTCTGACACTAATAATCCAACTTTCCAATGTGATTTTTCCGAGAAAATGTTAATTCGAACAGAAATCATAATTTCACGTGTTCATTCATAATCTCTTGATCGAACTAATTAATCTGAAAACATCTGAAGCAATAACCTACGATGGAAAATTCGTAGTCGATTTATTTTCAAGAAGTGCACTCAACCGCAGGGTCATAATAAAATTGATAGTTCCTCGAATAACACAGAGACAATCGGCTATAAAATAGCGAGCAAATTGACGAGGTTGTATCTACTTTTAGGGCATGACCAACTGTAGGAAGCAAACACTATTAGCAAAGACGTGTCCTCTTTGTTCAAGCACTCGTTCGCATGACACAACCATAATTACTCATCAGCTTGCTCGTACACCATAAAGAACCTCACATAGATCCTACAATTTCTTCGTCCTGCCACATTGACTTAGTAAATAGTTCGAAGGCGGTGGGGAGTCCACTCAGGGATGTCGAAAATCTTGAGCGAATAAAACACATAGCTCCTTGCTTTCACCTCAAACAAAATGAGTCGTGCGCCCGTCCGCCTACCATCCAACCGCGAGCCTATTGCTAACTAAAACCGCAGTACAACGGACGCGGGCAATTTAAAAAATTCGAACGTCAAAAAAGTTTGTATTAAAAAAAGATAAATAAATAAAAAATAAAACCAAAGTGTTATTCGAAAATCGAACGTTCAGTGAAAAATGGATTGATTGTTTGAATCAAGAAAAAGAAATAAGTTTGAAAATTATTATTTTTGTAAATTCATTTTGTTAGTTATTAAAATATTAATAAATATTTAACAAAAATGAAGATGGCCGACCGTTGTGTTTTGTCTCTGTTGATGTTATGTTTGACTGTTATATGCCACAATGGAGAAGCTGCGGAAAATGCGAATGCAGTTGCCATACGTGAGTATTTTTCTATAATTCCGTTTTATTTAGCGTAAAGAGTAACTAATACATTTTAAGTGCTCTGCTAATAGAAGCATACGATTTCATTTAAGATTTGTCATATTTTTAATTAATGATTCTCGTGGTGAAGTCGGAATTATCCATTTAGTTTTCAGGATATCGATTTTCTTTTAAGTACTGAAACCTTATTTCTGTAGATATCAACCAAGTATTTTTTATTAGTTATTAACATCGGAGGTAAAATACTTAACTATAAATAGAAAATAATAGATAGGTAATTATGAGGATGTTACAACCAAATTTTTGTATTGAACATAATGTCAAACATTACATTCCTACTTACATATAAACAAGGTCTCAAACATCCATTAACACGGTATTGATAAGTAAACAAGTGACATAATAGGAATGTCAAAATAAGCCTACTATGCCCCGCGTTTATGCCCAATATCACATACGTAACTCCATCATATGGTATAATAAAAGTTTAATATTGTTATGTTTAATTGCAGTTTATATGATAGAAAAGGTTTAAGACCGAGTATGCCTAGCTTCACTGATGGACAGACTGACTACTTATTATTTATTTCATATTTGTTGACGTTTCAAAAGTACCAAATTATGATTTAATTGAAATAAATGCTTTTGAGTTTGAGTTTTATGGTGGCGAAATTCAAGTTTCGACATAAAGTGTATATTTAGATAGTTATGATGTAGCAAACGATATAAGCGGTGGATAATTTGCATGTGTTAGTCAAGTGCACTGATATTAGGTTACTTTTGTAATATCTTTTTCGTTTTGGCATGAGTATTTAAGTATGCACGGGGCAAGATATGGGCGGGAAAGATATTATGTGTATAAATTGCATCAAATAGGTATTATTATCATAATTTACTTAAAGTAGACACACATCTTTATTTATATTATTATATAACTTATATTATTGTTAATTTTAGTGTGAGTAGGTCTCAACAATTTATAAAACATTAGATAATTCTTTATTCATACGTCAGCTTAGTTTAAATGAAGAACATTTTAACAAATTTGAAAATCGAACAGTTCTAGTTCTACCATAGCGTCATGCATTTTTTTTAAAGGCAGCAGATGCCAGACTATACAGCCATGGGCAGTATTCAAATAGTGTTATGAAATGGTGTAGATCAGATTTTGTCTGTGGCCAGATGTGGTGAAATAGTGTGTTGCAACTAGCTTTTCGAAAATATTGACCTTTAGACGTTGCACTGGCATTCAAAACAATACATAGACATAACGTTGTCATACCGTGGTTAATTTAAGTAAACCACATGATTTTGTATACATACAATGAAACGGCTTTTTTTCCTTTAGTTTAGTTTTTATTTATCCTAGTTATTTATTGTTTAGTTTATAGATTACTAGCACTATACCTATATATAGATTAGATTAAACGGTTATTATAATAATTTCTTGTTCAGTAGATGGTCTATTTCGATTTCAACTTCAAGAAAATGTTTATAAATAAGTACCATAGACATTAATTAGGCCATTTAAGAATATCATCAAAAATCCATACGTAAGTAAATTATTTATTTGAGAGATAATCGGTTTTGGGTCGAATTAAACTGCGATACCATTTACATACATGTACATATTATTTCATTTTTGGGCGATGTTTTTTTTATTCATAAAAAGTCGAATTCTCTACGACCATAGAGATAATAAAATTGGCAATTTGTATACAAATCTTTATGCACGTAACTATATTTTATTATTGTCAGTTCACACGTCATATTAATAAAAATAACGATAACGTGTTACAATATCGATTAATTGGTGCCAGGGTTAAGGTCTCTAAAGTTATAAATATTATGTACAGACAGACAAAATATATTATCTTTAGGTACGATTAATATGAATTATAACGAATTTTAAATAAGCAAACTATAATTTAGTATTATATCTGATATTAAGTTTAAAATTTTGTTCATTTTATTTTTAAAATTTACTACTTTTCAGTTTCAATATAGGTTTTTATTCAATGTTATTGTTGTTCCGAATTCCTTTCGTATCTATGACTATTTTTGTTAATGTTTACACGTTGATTACCTTGTACTATAACATGACAATATTCTGTGGCTAACCAAAGCCTGAAATGTTATAAATGTTCAGATGTGGTTAAAGGAATAATTCTGACTGTTCAGTCAACCAAAATTACTTTCATAGAATATAATGTCTTCTTCTTCTTCCTACCCTTCGGCAAAGCACTTGAGGGTGAACAATTAATTTTCTAAAATGTACCTAATTTCTTCTTTCACATAACATAATCTATACAATTTTTCTAGTCTCACCACACCATCGTACTCATAATGTTTCCCTCTAAATAATGCGAACTGTTATCATAATACCAAGGTCCAAAACAATAGACCTGAATATTCTCCGAATCGCAGAAAAATTGCTCAAGATTATAGAAAAATAATACAATTGTGCAGTTATGGCAAAGTATTCAACTAATGAAGCTTGCTCGGTTATTGTCAAAATTGTGATCTTCTGATGTGTGTCAAGGATAGGCGACGGTGTCCGCTGTTGTAACCGACAGGTGGGCAATTAGCAAACATGTTAAACGTCCGTTGGATATTTAAAATTTCATGTTTACAGAAAAACCCATGTTTGATTTCGTGCGTGTCATATGTTGTTCAAGTACCTACGAATATTTTGTTTGTAAGTAGGTAAATTCAGGGTCATCGTAAAAGTAGTCTTACGATAATATGCAGAATTAATTTGTCAATCAAAACAATCTATAAGATTCTTAAAATGTCTAATATGGACAATGGTTTTTCTTATCATCAACTAGCTCGTGTCCGCGACTTCGTACGCGCAATTCAGCTTTGTCCCGTTCCCGTTGGATTATCTGTAAATCTTCGACATAAAAAGTATTCCTCCAGAAATATTCAACCAAATCGATTGAGCCGTTTTTGAGTTATAAATAGTAACTAACACGACTTTCTTTTATTAAAGTAGATATGATATTTGTCGTATCTTTTTCATGGGACCAATAATGTTTCATCGTTTACGGTATGTCGCATACAACTGGCTCCAATATCACATGACTAACCTGCACCAACATAAATGAAATTCACACTATTATAACATCAGAACAACTAGATAACTCACACACCTACCAAGGAAACATCTCAATTACAAGTAGGAAACAATTTCCCTACCTATATCGGAGACCAGAGACCGAACCTAACCCGGTCTGAATATTTCACAGTGACATAACATTCTCGCGTGACATTTCTTTGTAAGTCTTCGTCTTCCTCGTTATACAATGCTAAGTCAACGTCACGGCCTGGCTGCTGGTTACTGCCTTCATTGCCCAAGGCCTCTTGGGTAACTAAGTAACCACGCTCCTTATCTTACACTTTATTAAGTTACTTTGTAATTGTTTTCAAGATTAACTCGGTTTTAGAAGATTAGTACTAGTTTTGCGAAAGATCCTCTTCATGGTAGATAGTCCTATGTGATTGAGATAAAAAATAGTTCTCTTTGGTAGTTTTTTGGTCATTTCTTACCCAACTATTTGTCCATAGGTACGACTTTACGTTAATTACGACGTTTGTTTTAGGCACAGAAATACTAAAAACTATTATATATATGGTTAAAGGTTATCTAAATATAGGAATAACTTTGAATATTTGACAATTCTTCCATACTAAAAACTGTCAAATGTCAATTTTATTCTACAGTTAAGAATCAACTGGTGATTGCAAAATTGGCCCTTAGGCTAGTTCACGTAGACGGTTTTGACTTTGATATTATTAAAGGTATTGCTATCTTTTAATTCGCAACATATTGCATGTAGTTTTCCTTCCTACTTCGTTAATCTCGATACTTAATCTTCCTGTACGTCCTTATGAATGTGTGATTCATTTAAAATTTACCTCTATACAATCCCTTTTAATATTGCCGACAACAATTTTCCGGAAAACCGTTGTGGAATATAAATTGCAATACATATTTAATAGTCTCCTGCTTCTACATACGAAATATCAGTTTTGTAATTGCTCTTTTAAAAATGCTATAATCTAAAAAGGACGTTATATTACTAATAAATAATTATCTATGATAAAGTAAAAAAAAACCTATGAACGAAAACTGCGCATATTTTACTGTGGAAATGATTTAGTGCGCACATTCATTTATATTACATACTTGTAATGTCTCAGGTCAAAGTTAAAGTTCACGTGAACTTGCGTAGGTACATTTTTATCTATCATTTATACAAGTACAGATAATTTTTGACATTTTACGTTTCAGACAACGAATGAATGAATAAATGAATGAAAATCAAAACGTAGTCGCTTCTATAACCTAATTAATTATTTCAATAAAATTTACGCGTAAATAATATTACAGATTTTACGGATGACTTTTCTTTGAAATACATGTGGTACTAGCTTCTGTTCCAAATTTCATTTCATTTCAAGGAGTCTGGAGTAACAAACATAGAATCTTTGAAACATAGAACTATAAACTTTGTTAACACCTATGTATTATGTACCCATGTTTGCAAATGGTTAAATAATTATGAATGAATCTTTTGAATTTTAGTAAGATTTCAGTTGTATTTCAGCATCAACTTAAAATTATCTATTTGCACTAAATGCGGCCTTTTAATTTTTATATAAGCAGAAGCTCATACCTTTGTCTCCCGGGGGTAGAGAAAACTTACAGAGCACCATCTTGTCCGATCCTCACATGCATCTGGTCATACAATCAAGTTCCACTTCAAATGCTGGAAATATAATTAACTAAAATTAATATACAGAGTGAATCACACGGAATATGCGTGAATATTTAGAGGTCAATAACCGACAAGCTACGCCTATTGATTAATGAATCATTAAAATTAAGAAACCATACTAATTTTTGTTTTGGTGTCTAATCTAGTAAATGTGGAAAGTTCCATTAATTTTATCATTCTTTTTATTTACTTAATTTCAGTTTTTTCTTACAA